CTCTGCCGGCATCTGATGAGAAGCCTCTCAGCACTCTGGGACACTGGATCAGCCCTGCTGATCTGTCGGTTACTTTACATGTCCTCTGAGGTCATGGTGCTGCTCTGTCTCTCTTGTCCCACTCAAGCCCCTCTGAACAAGCATGGTCCCAGCTATGACAACTAGGGACAAGGAACAGGCTAAACAAGCCACCATCAGTCATGAGAAGTAATAAGCAAAGGCTATAATAATAATAAGATCGAGGACTCTGGAGGGCTACCTGGAAACTCACTCCACAGAAGAGGTTGAGATCAGACTGTAATTAATCCTAAATTCTCTATACTGTGTAACACAATTGTTTTTCAGACTTTGCACTGCCCTGAGAGATTCCATTTCTAGGAAAAGTGGCTTTTGACTCTATTTTGAGAATGAAGAATGACTGTGCACCTGGATGGGCACATGAATGGTGCCACCTGTCTGTCACCACCCACCCCACACAGGTGAAAAAAAAGATTTACTTTTAAGAGTATAAATGGTGACACGCTATAAGTTTATCAGTTTAATTGTGACTCTATGGGGCACATGAAGTATACCATATTTGAATGCCAAGCCCAAGAATTTACAGGACACATTAGACCAATGAAAGAGTGTAATTCCTCATTGGAAACCATAAAAGGGGGACATATAGCACTGTGAAATTTCCACCAACCTGTTATCTGACCTCTTGGTTTGTGTGTCAAGGATCAAGAGGCAGAGAACTCAGGACTGTCCCCGGGTTTCAGGATGGCTCCTTCTCTGCTGTCGATATAGCTGACTCTACCGTCATTGGTCTATCTTCTTGTTCCCCAACCTGGACCTGCCATCCATCATCTGTCTTCCATCCTTCATCCCAGCCTGGTCCTGCTCTGTGCTTCTGCAGCGAAACTCAACTCTGCAGCTTTGATTTCAAGCAGGTGACCTGAAGTGGCCTGATTTACAGTAACCTCAGCTTCTCCAGCTTCTCCCTACACTCTGGTTTATTATCTTATCAATGTAGATTCTATTTACATTCCTCTGTTTCTCTGCTCCTCAGGACTTCAGAAACCTCTTGAAATCTGCTGTGGACTATTAACACTTTACAGCCATTTCTGTAACACATGTATATAAGTATGTATGTGTTTATAGATAGAGAGATGGATTTACTGTGTTTTGTATATTCTGTTATTTGAGAGTGAATATTAGTAATTAATGTTGAATTTAAAAAAACCTTTGTTTGCCTTGACCAGGGTTACAAAGGAAAGCAGAACTGCCTGGACAGTTGCTTCCATTAAAACTGGTGTGTCTTGAGCCAAGTGCTGGTGGCACATGCTTTCAATCCCATCATTTGTGATTCAGAGGCTGGAGGATCTCTGAGTTTGAAGCCTGTTCTACAGAGCAAGTTCTAGGATAACCAGGGCTACAAAGATAAAACATACCTAGGAAGCAAACCCAAAACAATGCTGTGTCTTGTGAATTATGGTTATTCCATAAATTGTGACATTATAAACAAACACAAATGAATTTGCCTATATTTCTGACACAGCATGCATACCTCAGAGGGGAGAAAGTTACAGGCACCCAGGAATGTCTCCTCAATCTGAAGGAAGGACTCGAAACACATGGAGCAATGCATGTAACCAAAGAAACCCCCATCAATCTCTGAGAAGTAACCGTACAAAGTGAAATAACTTCAAAGTCAGCCACAGGAGGACTGGGGCATTCCCGCAGCTTCTGGTGCTTTACCACTATAGCTTGTTCTCTGCGAGTCTCTAATTGGAACAGCAAGAGGCAGGCACTCACAGGAGACCACTTCCTAAATGTCACACCCCCAGTAGCACAGACACTGAGAGCAACAATTAATAAATGGGACCTCCTGAGACTGAAAAGCTTCTGTAAGGCAAAGGACACGGTCAATAAGACAAAACGACAGCCCACAGAATGGGAAAAAGATCTTCAACAACCCCACATCTGACAGAGGGCTGATCTCAAAATTATATAAAGAATTCAAGAAACTAGACATCAAAATACCAAACAATCCAATAAAAAAATGAGCTACAGGCCCAAGTTCAACCTTCCTAAAATGAAGTGAAATGGGAAAAAATGAAGCCAGTCCCATTTCCTCATCAAGTGTTCATTGGGAGAGCTAAAGCACGCACGGGAGATGTAACCTACAGAAGAGAGGCACTTAGTAAATACACAGAAAGTACGGAAAGAAAGTCAGCCCCACACACCTGTGTTCTACAACCACGGATGACGTAAGGGAGGTAGACAAACATCAAAGGCCGCTTAAGGGTCAGGGTCTAATTTCCACAGAGAACGTTGTGTAAGTGCTTCTGCAGGCCTGGCAGGGATGCTTTGACCCCTGAAACCTGCAGGGTGGAAAAGAAAACCACAGATGTCCTCAGACCTCCACTGGTACTCCAATCCACTACGGTGTGCGCTCTCTCTCTCTCTCTCTCTCTCTCTCTCTCTCTCTCTCACACACACACACACACACACACACACACACACACACACACACAGAATAAAAAAAGAAATGTAAACTAAAATAATGGTGAATTGGAACTATGCACTCCAACGACAGCTAATGAATATTTTTGTTTGAGTCTACTATGAATTTATGTATTCTTACATGTTTGATGCATTGTAATCCATGCTCACCATTATTATTTTTCATCTACAGTTATATTTAAAAATATAAAATATAAAATCAAAAAATGAGCTACCGAGCTAAACAGAGAATTCTCAACAGAAGAATCACAAATGATCAAAAGACATTTAAGGAATTGTTCAACATCCTTAGTCATCAGGGAAATGTAAATCAAAATGACTCTGAGATATCATCTTAAACCTGTCAAATGGCTAAAATCAAGAACACTGATGACAGTTTATGTTGGAGAGGATGTCCAGCAAGGGGAACACTCCTCTATTGTTGGTGGGAGTGCAAACTTGTACAACCACTTTTGAAATCAGTATGGCAGTTTCTCAGAAAATTGGGAATCCATCTACCTTAAGTCACAGCAGTACCACTCTTGGGCATATACTCAAGGAATGCTCAAATATGGACACATGCTCAACTATGTTCAGAGCAGCATTATTTGTAATAGTTAGATCCTGGAAACAACCTAGATGCTCCTCAACCAAAGAATGGATAAAGAAAATGTGATACATATACACAGTGGAGTACTACTCAACAGTGAAAAACAATAACATCACGAAATTTGCAGACAAATGGATGGAACTAGAAAATATCATCTGAGTGAGGTACTCAAGACTCAGAAGGACAAACATGGTATGTACTCACTCGTAAGTGGATACTAAATGTAAAGCAAAGGATAACCAGACTACAACCCACAGCTCCAGAAAAGCTAGCTTAAAAAGGAAAATCCAAAGAAGGATTTATGTATTGCCCTGGGAAGGTAAAATAGATGAGATCTCCATGAGCAAACTGGGGAGGGGGTTGCAATGGAGGGTAGGGGATGGGAGATGAGAACATAAGGGAACAGGATGGTCAAGCTGGAACAGAGATGGAGTGGGAGAACAATGAAAGAGATACCGAAATAGAGGTAGACACCATGGAGATAATGAGAAACCAGATGCTAGGGAAGTTCCCAGGAATCCACAAGCATGAACCCAGCTTAGACTACTAGCAATAGTGGAGAGGGTGCCTGAACTGGCTTACCATTGTAATCAGATCAGTAAATACCCTGTCATCATAGAGTCTTTCTCCAGTAACTGATACAAGCAGATGCAGAGATCCACAGCCAAACACCAGGCTGAGCTCCAAGAGTCCCTTCAAAGAGAGAGAAGAGGGATTCTATGAGCAAGGAGCTGATCAAGATCATGATGGAGAAACCTGCAGAGACAACGAAACCAAACTAGTTGGACCTCATGAAATTTAGATCAATACCAGTGGAGCCTGCATGGGACTGGGCTAGGCCCTCTGCATCAGAAAGACAGTCGTGTATCCTGATCTGTTTAAGGGGAACCCCGGCAGTAGGATATGGATCCATCCCTGGTGCATGAGCAGGCTTTTTGGAGCTCACTGCCTATGGTGGAACACCTTGTACAGCCTTGAGGTAGGGGAAGGAGGATCAGACCTGCCTCTACTGAAGATACCAGGCTCTGCTGACTCTCCATGGGAGACCTTACATACTTGTAGGAGGGAATGGAGGGTGGGGTGAGGAGGGAGGCTGGAGGGGTGGGAGGAGGGAAGAGGACGATCTGTGATTGGTATGTAAAATGAATAGAAAATTTCTTAGTAAAAAAGTGAACTGGAAAAAGAGTCTGGTGCTCTACTCAGGGACTAGGACACTGCATGTTCTTCTATATGGCTCCCGTTCCTTCTCTATTCACCTGTGCAGCCTTCTTTCTAAAGACCTGTCTTACAGGAAAACCTTGGTCAAAGATGACCAAACTTAATAGTGGAGCTTGTCTCTTTATTTTCAACTGAATGTCGCCACTTTGAAATCTTTGAGTGTCCATTTCTTCCAGGACAGACTTCATTGCCTATTTCTATAGGTAAGAGGGGTTCAGATTCCACATCTGTTTAGGGAATCTCATCCTTAGAGCTACAAAGGACAGAGCCACCATTTGTCCCAGAAGCAGGCCACATCCTTACACAACTGGACTTCCACAAAGCCCCTGATGGCCTGACACTCCACAGTGGCTGTCTCAGCATCAGCTGCCACTCTGAGCTGCTGAGCTACACAGAAATAATTACATCCTTTGCTCACCATTCATAAAGGGTCAAGCTGTGATGTAAGGAGGAACAAGGTGCTGTAATGTGTCTTGACATTTTCTATTTATCATTTGCATCTACCAAAAAATAATTGGAGAGAAACCAGTTATGTCATAGTAAATGGAGCCAGGCTATTGGCAGGCAGCTTCTGGAATGCTCTTGTTATTATAGACTTCCCATTGACTGTCTCCACTGACACCCATGCATCTAGTATTATGGAGGCTATAAATTGATTTGTGCATTCAGCCCAGCCAGAGCCAACATGAAAACAGCCACAATCTTGGTCCTGGTGGCTTTGATCACCATGGAGATGGGCAAGGCCTGTGCTCTGTCTTCTCACGGAGGTAAGTGTGTTATAGGGATCCAAGCTGAAAGCAGAGAGGGATCATAGCACACTAGGGCCTGGGGCTCATTCGCAACAGGGGAGAGCCATGTGCACACTGCTTGGACAGAATTCACTTCCTTTGGTCTGTAATAGTGATCCCTGCATTTCTTATCGAGAGAGAGAGAGAGAGAGAGAGAGAGAGAGAGAGAGAGAGAGAGAGAGAGAGAGCTGCTTTTCACAGAAATCTGGATAGATCAGGGCAGCTCATCTGGTTTGGAGATGTGCCTTGAATGTAGGGATCACTGGAGCTATTGCTCAGAGATGAACTGGGGTATGATGGGATGAGAGACGTCTGGTTGTCATTGGAGGGTTTATAGCGTCTTCTCAGATGTAAAGAAGAGGCTGTGACAGTACAAAGTTCTTTCTACCGAGACTGTATAGACTTGGGGAGGGAGCACACTCCCCCAATGGCCAGGGAACACTCAGGCCTAAGAGAGAAACTGGACCTGGTGAAGCAGAGGGAAGAGCCCAGGATACAAAGGTGGATGTAGAATAAGCTAGTTTCCTGCAGATGACCAGGCTTTCAGACCTCTACCATCAATTCTCAGCCTTGTCTTTCTGCTTCATGATCCATTAAAAAAAAAAAAAAAAAAAAAAAAACATTGTCTCGAAAAAACCAAAAAAAAAAAAAAAAAAAAAAACATTTTTTTTTCAGAATTACAAAAACCTGGAGCTTGTCCCAAGGTGCCCCCAAGTACTGGTGGAACTTGCAATGAGAGATGCTCAGGAGATGACTCATGCCCTCGTAAAATGAAGTGCTGCAGCAATGGGTGTGGTCATGTCTGCATGAGGCCTGTCTTCAAACTGAGTATAGTCCTGTGTCTTACTTTCCTTTGTCGTGACAGCTTGACCAAGGCAACTACAGAAGAAAGAGTTTATTGGGGGCTTGCAGTTGCAAACATTGAGTCCATGACCATCATGATGGGGATCATGTCAGGAGGCAGACAGGCATGGCGCTGGAGGAGTAACTGAAGGCTTCCATCTTGACACATAATCATGAACAGAGAACAGGATAACTGGGAACACTGTGGGACTTTAAAACTCCAAGCCTGTCCCCTGTGATAGATCACACCAAATAAGGCCACAGTTCCTGCTCTTTCTGCAAATGCTCCAACAGCTAGGGACCAAGTATTCAAATACATAAGCCCATGGGGGCCATTATCATTCACATCACCACATCCTTTCAAGGTATGTGCAAGGGAGTAAGTGAGTTTCCAGGAGACTTTGCTGGCACAGTCCCATGTTGCTTTGTCCACTGACTGCACACAAGAGTCTGGATGTGTCCAAGAGAAAGAACTGGAAGTCCAGGGCAGCAGGACACTGTGTTACAGGATCTGTGGCCCTCTCCTCTGCAAAGCAGTCCCACAGTGACTAAAATGACACAAATCACAATTACTGAGGTCCACATGATCATAAACGGACAAACCAACTCTTCCTCCACTCCCCCAGACTCAGAGGTCTGTCTCTTTCAGGAGAGCGGGTGTTTTGGGAAGGGAGAGAGATAAAGAAGTGAGTGGGAGCATTCATTCATTTGAACACCTTATGCATCAGGCAGGCAAGTGTTAGAATGGAGAATAAAAGGTAAATATAACTAGACCAGAGAAGCAGGCCTGTGTCAGCAGGAGCTCTGCACCAGCTTCTGCTAAGTTCTAACAATGGTGACTAGCATTGCCTGGGAGAAGCTGAGAGATGTCAGAGTGGAGATCAATGAGGAGAAAGCTTAAGTTAGGATACACAAAGACCACCAGACGAGGAAAGCAAGTTCAGAAAGTGAAAGATATGTTGGCCCTGCTTGGGAGAGGGGAAAATGATTGCCCTGGATAGTTTTGATTTCTTGGGTATGGGTGGGGTGGAGATATACTACTACAAGGCCAGAGATCCAAACAGCAATAAGCTACGAGACATAGAGTGAGGGCTGAACAGCTAGACCTTTCTAAAGAGATGAAAATCATGATCAAATTTGTATTGTAGAAGACTGGCAGCCCTGGAAATAAGGATTCGATATTAAGAAGCATGACTGATGACTAGTCCCTGAAGATTTCTTCTGAATCTACCAGGCCCATGCTTGCCTACTCCCTAGCCCAGAATTACATCCTTAGAAGATGAAGATCCATAATGTGGTGACTGCTTCCTAGTGTCTCTGTGTCCAAAATAAATGATCCTTAGCATTCTCTTGCTGAAGAATTCTTTGCACATCCTATTGACTATTCTGATTAGCAGAGCCACCCCTTTTACCTCCAGAGAGTCCCGTAACACTGAACCACCAGTATTCCAGCAGATCAAGGACAAGTTGTTCCTAAAAAAAAATTTCCTCATCCCATGCCATCACGGTACATCCAAACAAGGCAGTGAACCCAAGTATATTTTCTGGGTGCATTCTGTGACCAGCAGTCTGGCCAAGCAAACAATGAACCTGAGCAGGCCTGCTGGAGCTGTACTTACTGGGTCAGATTTCAGGAAGAGTAGGAAGGGCTCAGGAACTCCCCATTTAAGACAACACAACATCCTGCAGGACTGGATCTCTACCTCCAGGAGCACAACCATGACCTCTGGGGGGTGGGTTCTGTTTAGCATGTGTTAAGAGGCCGGGTAGCTGGTCCAGTGGTTAACAGCACATGCTGCTCTTCCAGAGGACCTGAGATCAGTTCTCAGCATCTGTAACTGGTGGCTCACAACTTCCTAAAACTCCTGCTCAAGGGGTATTTGACACCTCTGACCCCCTCAGACATCTGACCTAAGGTCACCTATATTCCACCCTCACACCAATAGAATACACATAATTGAAAATAATTTTTAAATAATTAAGGAGCATGGATTAGAAGCACCAGTTCCTGTCTGCATGAGGAGTTAGAACTGAATTGAAATACCTCTAGGAATCTGGAGATATCCACATCCTTCAAGCTCAGCACTGGTGTCTGGGAAGTGCTTCTGCTCCTCCCCTGGCCTGAGCAGGACGGCCTACAAGCCATGTCCAGGTTTGATTGTCTGGTTCCCTCAGCATTGTTGGGGTTTATAAAGGATCAGTGATGAAAAGGAAATACATCCTTTTGGGAGTAGAATTTAATCCAGAAACAACTTTATCACTATAGTTTAGTGTCCCGTGTCTGCCAATATCACAGCATTAGTCCTCTATGTCACACAGCTGACCTTAAAACTTGATGGCCTCTGTCTCCTTCTATGTAGTCCCTCCTCTGTCTATCCTCATGTTCACCTAACTGGACCTGCCGTCCATCTGTCCTTCAGTTCCTGCATCTAAGCCTGGTCCTGTTATGGCTTCTGCAGCCAAACTAAACTCCACAGCTTTGCTTTCAAGCAGGTGACTGGAAGTGTCCTGACTTACAGTCCCCATAGTTTCTGCAACTTCTACCCACACCCTGGTTCATTATCTTATCAATCTAGATTCTCCTTACATTCCTCTGTTTCTCTGCTCCTCAGGACTTTTGAAACGTCTTGAATTCTGCTGTGGCCTATTAACACTTTACAACCATTTCTGTAACCCATGAATATAAGTATGTGTGTGTATAGAGATAGAGAGATGGGTTTACTGTGTGTTGTGTGACAAGTGATATTAGAGTTAATATCATCAATGAAGGTTTGAAAAAACCTTGTGTTTGTCTTGGCCAGGGTTACCATGGAAAGCAGAACTGCCTGGCCTGTTGCTTCCATTAAAACATTTGTGTCTAGTCGGGCGGGGTGGTGCAGGCCTTTAATCCCAGCTCTCAGGAGACAGAGCCAGGCGGATCTCTGTGAGTTCAATGCCAGCCTGGGCTACCAAGTGAGTTCCAGGAAAGGCACAAAGCTACACAGAGAAACCCTGCCTTGAAAAACCAAAAAACAAAACAAAAAACTGGTGTATCTAAAGCCAAGTGGTGGTGGTACATGCTTTAACCCCAGCACTGAGAATACAAAGGCCATTGTATCACTGATTTTGTGGTCAGCCTGATCTTGAGAGCAAGTACGAGGATAGTGAGTGTTAGAGAGATAAATACTGTTACAAAAAGGAAAAATGAAAACAGGAAACCCAACTAAACAAACAAGCAAAACACAACAAAACCACTGCTTTATCATGTTAATTTACGGTTATTCCATAAATGATGGCAAAACAAACACAAATATATCTGCCTGTCTTTCTCACGTAGCATGTGTACAATAGAGGGGGGAAGTTACAGACACCCAGGAATGTTTCCTCGGTTTGAAGGAAGGGCTAGAAACACATGGAGCAAGGCACGTGATCAAACTAACCCCTCTCTATCCCTCAGAAATAACCCTGCAAAAATGAGTTAACTCCAAAGCCAGCCACCAGATGACTGGGGCGTTCCCAGAGCTGTTAGAATTTTACCACCACAGCTTCTTTTCTGAGAGTCTATAATTGGGACAGCAGAAGAGTCAGGCACATTACTCTGAGACTAGGGACACTGCACTTTGTCCTATGGCTCCCACCCCTTCTCTGCTCACCCAGGCAGCCTTCTTTAAAGACCCGACGTACAGACAAGCAACAGTCAAAGACAACCAACCGTCATAGTGGAGCTTGTCTCTTGACTTTCAACTGAATCTCGCCACTTTGAAATCTCTTCCAGGAGAGATTTCATTGCCTAATTCTGCAGGGAAGAGGGGTCCAGATTCCACACCTGTGTAGGGAATCTCATCCTTAGAGGTACAAAGACAGAGCCACCATTTGTCCCAGAAGCAGGCCACATCCTCACACAACTGGATGTCCAGGAAGTACCTGATGGCCCTGACACTCCACAGTGGCTGTCTTGTCATCAACTCTCACTCTGAGTTGCTGAACTACACAGATATAATTACATTCTTTGCTCACCATTCATGAAGGGTTAAGGACCACCATGATGTCAGACTGCTGACTCGCTCTGTCACACACCACTGGTTTAAGTGTCCTCTGCATATCCTGGTTTTTCTGTCTGTAACATGAAGACAAAGTGATATAGTCTGAGACTCACTCCAATTCTTTCCTTCTAGAATAGCCTTCACTTTCTCTAAGCATGACTTGCTTACAGTAAGACTCCACCTCGCAGACCAAACATCCATTCATATCTACCATCTTTCTGTGCCCCAGAGAAGGTGGCTCTGCATTCCCTCAGTCAAATGGGGATGATCACACTGGCTGATGTAGGCAGAGGCTCCTCCTTAGCCCAGTGAGCTGCAACCTTCCTCAGAACTCTCTACTTACACCTGAGGGACAGCTTTCATCCTCAGACTCTGATGCTCCGTTACTGTCTCTCATGTGCCACCCTATTCCACCTCATGGGACAGTTGTTTCCATCACTGTCCCTGCATCAAAAGGCTAAGATCTCCTTGACGGAAGAAGGAGGCTTTATTCCACCATCTCTGTCCTGACCAACAGCAGATGCACACACAGCCTTGGTAGGCTGCAACGCTACACAGGGCCCCAGAGGCTTGGAACATGAGGCATTTCCTAGCGACTACTAGAAAACACACAGCTGATTATGTGGGCTACACATTCTGCCTGCTGTACATACTCATCACTAGGTGTCAAGCCTTATTTGTTTACTAGAACATTCTATGTCTGGGTCTCCCAAACTTGGTTTCATTTTCTGCCTCTCTTATCATTCCAATAAAATCTCTCTCTCTCTCTCTCTCTCTCTCTCTCTCTCTCTCTCTCTCTCTCTCTCTCTCACACCTTTGTCTGTCAGTCTCTCTCCCTCTGTCTCTCTTTCTCTATCCCTTCCTTGTTCTACATAGCCTAAACCAAACCTTCTGAATTCTGCTGACTGGATGGTATGTTTATGTGTGGAAGAGTCTGGAGTGGTCAGTGTCTTCTGTCTGTGCTCACACCCCATGTTTGTTCCACAGATTCCAGACAATCTGGAAAGACTGACATGAAGGCTCCACTGTCTGAGGTGCCCACCACCAAGTGCCGTGAGTTCCTATCCACAGACCTTGCTCGCAGGTGTGAACACTGCATCCATCCTCTGGGGTTCACAATCACACACAGCCCATCTCAGTCATTATGTTTGGTGTACCACTTCCCCCTCCAGCATGCACCCCACTTCTCCCCTCCAACTCCCTCCTTTCTCTTCCGTGATGTCACTGCTGGGGGAAGGCAGTCTGTGAGGAACTCCTCACTTCAGCCAATTTCAGTTTCCTCCCTGATACCATGACATCATCTTTACTTTACTCAGGATATTCCATTTTCCTCCCAGCACCCCACCTCTGTCCCATACCCCAGAGGCCCTATAAAGAGGGGTTCCCAACTCAGATCAGCACAACACTCAGCCAGCTCGTGCAGCCTCTGGACTCTGCAGTCTCAGCTCTGTTCCAACCTTTCCCCCAGCAACACCATGAAGCTGTGTGTGTCTGCTCTCTCTCTCCTGCTGGTCATGGCTGCCTTCTGGGCTCCAGCACTCTCAGCACCAAGTAAGTGGACTTTGCCATGGCTGCTCCCTTGGAGACTCAGTGGGTTCAGTTTTCCAGCTGGGGCCAGACCAACAGTGGGGTTTGCTCAGGGAACAAAAGGGAGCTGGAAGATTCCCCACTCTGCTGTTAACAGTAGAGACTACCAGACAGTCACTAATACTAAAGCTCCTGTTTCCTTAAGAATTACTAGCCAATAGAGGGAAATGGTGGGCTGGAAGCCAGATATTCTGAGGCTTTCTCTGTGGTTTAAGCTTGTCTGTCTCTATGACTTGATTTCCCTACCTGAAACATGAAGGGATGGAGAGGTGTTTTGAGACTAAATCCAGTTTCAATCTCCTAGAATTTTTTCTCCTTTTCAAGGACTGTCTTTTTAGAGTAAAAGTCTCATTCTGGGTGGAGGACCATGCATTCAAGGGGCCATGTTTTGGGTTCTAGCAGTCCATAGGGAAGATCTAGAATGAATAGCAGCTTTGACCTTATCCTGGCTTTTTCTTCCAGTGGGTTCTGACCCTCCCACTTCCTGCTGCTTTTCTTACACTGCTCGGAAGCTTCCTCGAAGCTTTGTGACGGATTACTATGAGACCAGCAGCCTTTGCTCCAAGCCAGCAGTGGTGTAAGTACACACTGTGGGGAGGTCAAGACTCAGAAAGGGCCAGGTTCAGGTGAAAAGGCTAACAGAAGGGATCCAGTTATAAGTGTTGAAGCTGTGCCAAAGAACAGTGAGGTCATGAGGTAACTTTATGAGTTCTGATAGAGGCTGAATAGTCATTAAAATGGGAGAAGAAGGTAGCTACAGGCTATGAAATCAGAAACAGTCAAAACGATGCACACTTACATAGAAAAACCATTTAAAAGAGCAATGAAAAATTGGGAGACATCATCATATTGATCACAAAGCCCACCGTTTCCTAACATAGGGAACCCCAGGGGCCACAGCTACCCACCCAGGGGTCAGAGTTCCAGGAAGTCTAGTGTCAGGGTAATGCAGGAAGGATCCCATCTAGCATGGGTGCCCATAGAAACAATGATCAACAGAGTCAGATGCCTACCACCCACGAAGGACAATGCTAGATGTCCTCTAAGGTACCATGGGATTCTCATCTGTCCTCTCCTTCTTCTATAGATTCCTCACCAAAAAAGGCAAGCAAGTCTGTGCGGATCCCAGCCAGCCCTGGGTCAATGAGTATGTGAATGACTTGGAGCTGAACTGAGCTACAGGAGGAACCACTTCAGGGAAGGCCACCTGAGCCCTGCCACTCCTCATTGAGAAGTGCCTTGCTGCTTCCATTCAGAATTCCTCTCCCCCTTCTTAATCAAGTCCTTATATACACTGTGTTATTTTATTTGGTGTTATTTCTATTTATATTTAGTTAAAGGACATGTGTCTCCTATGGGGATGGTCCACCATTACTGTTTCTCTGCTATTGTGGATATGACCATGCAGTTGATTTCATATACTTTCATAATAAATCTTACTTAAAAATATAGTTCGTGATTTTAAATTGATCTTCATTTGGGTTGAATCTGCCTGATGCTATTATAGATAAACTACAGTTTGCAGAAGCAGTGAGAATGAGTAAATACTGAGTGAGACCTTCATGTGTCTTCTTGGCTACATGAACTCAAGACATTTCCTCAATGCTTCTAATGAGAATGGGAACACCTATATGAGGGTGGGGACCGGTGCTTGTAGATTTGCTTGGGAAGCATCAGGAAAGAAGGATCCAGAGGAACAATGTTGATCATAGGGGTCATTAGATTGACATTCCAGAGGGAAACTGGGACTGGGACAACAACACAAGACAGAGGGAAGGGATTTGGTTCAGTGATAAGGGGACTTCATTGTCTTATCATTGTGACATTAGAAAATCACTGTACCTTACTAGAGCTCATGTTTTCTAACCTGCAAAGTGGGGTAATAGTGCCCACTGTATTGGAATGTATACAGCACCCCAGATGGTTTATCTCCCTCTCTGAACCCCAGCTTGTGTCCCTGGGAAACAAGGATTTCTGAAGTTCATACTAGGTCATGGGTCAGCAACCTAAACCACATAACAAATGGTATGACAAAGCTTAAGTGTCTGGTTTGGCCGTAAAATATAATATTAAATAGAAAATAGAAAATAGAACAAAATAATTCTCAGCCACAAATTACTTCACCTAGGACAGAGAGAAATGTAGAACTGAATGAACAGTAGTTCTGATCAATTGTTCATAGACTGGTAGCGTGTTGGTAGGCCATCCAGTCTAACTCATTGTGTGGAAACTGAGGTTAAAGACTGAGAAATAACCTGCCAAAGGCCACTCAGTGTGTGGCACAGCGGCATTGCAGCTGATGTCAAGCCCCAGGTCAGGACCCTGTACTGGTATCTTTCCTAGTGACACACTTCTGAGGTCCACAAAGGGATGACCCCTGAGTCATGTTTCTTAATCTTAAAAACAATGTAGATGTAGAAGCTGGAAAGGGTAACAAAATGGTTTCTTCCCCCAGGCTGATGAAACTAATTTTGGACTTCTGATCCCTGCCCCCTGAAGTTTAAGGGATTAAATGTGTTTTGTTTTATGACACCAAGATTACCATGACGTGTGATAACAGTAATTGGAAACTGGTACAATTGATAGCTGAAGAGTCATTCACTGACAGTGGCAACCCCACAGGTGCAGAAGAGAATGGAACATTCTAGAAAATAAGCCAAATATCCATAAAGAGTATTACAAGGTGAGGTAGACATACTCCAAAGAGTTGGACTGCAATGAGACAAGGCTCTGTTTCAACAGGTGTCGATGAGGGGTGATTCTTCCCCAAAGGTTCCTGACCCGCAGAGGGAACATCTCCTAAGGTTTCCGTGGCATAGTGGGCATCTTGAACTCTTAGCTGGACATGAATCCATCCTCTCACTTGCAGATGAAGCCTAGAGTAGAGTCATGGCCTATTTGTGTTGGCATTATTGCTGAGAGAGCAGGGTTAGGACCAGAATCAGGATCTCCTCCTTCATAATTAGTTCTTGTTCCCATATGGCCCCACCCTGGGCAAACGGGGAGGGAGGAAGTCAGTTCCACAGAGGCGGGATCCCAGAATTTCCGGGGCAGATCTATGAGGAAAGGCTTCACCCAGGAACAAGAAAGGATGGGGCAACGTGGGACTCCACCTGCTGTATCGTGTAAAACTTTGGTCTCTCCCTGCTCCTCTTGACCAGTGACCTCCTTTTCCAGTCTACTATGAGATATCTTACGTGATGGTTTGGTTTTGTGGTTTTTTTTTGAAAAAGGCCCAAAACCTTTAATTTTCAAAAACCAAAATTTTTTTTCAAATTAGACAGTTTTACACTGAATGACAAAAGGAAACTTAAATTACCGATAGTTTACATTAAGATTGATTCCAGTCTTAATGAAAAGTAAAACAGAAACAGAAACCCTCAGGCAAACTTCCACGTTACACTCCCGTTCTGTGACTCGCAGCTGTTAGCACTCCGGGAATCTTCGATTGTCTGCTGCTTTCCATATAACAGGCTACAAAGCACACAAACCCACAACTACAGCTCACTTAGGACGCTGTCAGCCGCCTGCCCTGCCCGCCAGGCCGCCCGCAGGCTTGTCACCACAGCCCTGGTGCCTGGCGACCACACAAAACACGCAGGGACAGCGGAGGAGGGAGACGGCAAGAAGAGGGGGCACAGCCAGGCAGGGCCGGAGACAGCAAAAAAGAGGGACCGCGGGCTTGGCAGCGACAGCAGCTGATCCTTAAAATGCTGGTGTGGTTTTACATATGGACGTTCTCCAGGTCTCTAGGTCTGCAGGAGAGCCTGAAGAGAGGAGGCAGAGTAAGGGAAGGGACCTGTGGCTTCTACACAATGTCCACTTGCTAGTGGGTACAGCTCTCCTCCCTTAGGGCCTTCCTCCCACACTCTCTTTCCAATAAGCATGGAGTGTGCAGGTATCCCTATGATATGGGATGGAATTCTCTGGGTATATGCTTGGGGCAAAATAGCTTGGTCACAGAGTTGTTCTAGTTTGCTTTTTGTTTTTGAGAAATTTCAAATTGATTTTTACAATATCTATATGAATTTACAAGCCTACTGTAGGAGCCAGCCAAGGAGTCGACTAGGGCACCCTCGTCGGTATGAGGCTGAGGAAAAACAGAGACGGAAGAATAGATGGAGACAGAAAACCAGTGCTGGGAGGCCTTCTGGTCAATACCAAGCAAGCCCTGGGTTTATTTCAAAGCCAGCTTATATAAAAACTGAAAGGCTAAAGTGGAACAAAGCACAGCACAGGAGGTCTAGCCTGTCCTCGATTCAAGGAGCAGGCAGGTTCATCATCTCAAACATGTGCCACCGGCTACCAGCAACAGCCTGCCTAGAACGGGACATTTGCTAAATAATTAGTTCTTTCCCACAAGCGAATCAGACTTTCTCACAGCCCCTGTACTTTTTCTAGGAGCCTTATCAGAGCTTTCTCTCAGCTTC